AGTTTGCATTTGTAGGACGAAAATGCAGTCCCCTCCCTCCCCCCGGAAAAAGCCCCGTTTATAACAAAAGTCTTCTAAGACATAGAAAAACCAAAGAAAATTGCACAAGCAGCAAAATGTAAAAAGTAACACCATCTCCGTTGTTTATTTTTTTTCTCCACTCGAAGCTGTCAGACAAATAGCCTCCGGCAGACTGGCGCGGACTTTAGCTTTTAAAAAAGCAACAATGTTGCAATCAGAGGTCTGAGTGGCTTTAGCTGTTGCGAAGGCAAAAACAATGAATGTAGCTTGTTAATTTACAGAAATAGCTTTCCAGAGCCTAGTGGTAAAGGGATAAAATTAATGACATCTGTTTAACCAGCTTAAGTCGGGGAAGCCGGCACGTTACACCCGTTACTAGCCTTTACGAAACAAGCTAGCCAAAAGCAAATAACAAATACACAAAAGTAAGCCTCCAGACTACAGAACGCTGTAAAATTGTGTAAAAACTCGTGTATTCAATAAACCAATTTGCCAGTTGACCCGGAACCCATTGCTGCTGTTACTAGTATCATTGGCTTCCGAAATAAACTAACCTCCTTTCCGATAACGTTTGTCTCCCCGCTCATTTCATCGGGGCGCTGATTGCACTTTCCTGGCTGGGAAAACGAACTGAAGGACTTTTTTTTATAATAATAATAGTAAAGTTGGAAGGGACCTTGGAGGTCATCAAGTCCAACCTCCTGCTCAGGCAGGAAACCCTACACCATTTCGGACAAATGGCTGTCCAGTCTCTTCTTAAAAACTCCCAGTGTTGGAGCATTCACAGCTTCTGGAGGCAGGTTGCTCCACTGGTTAATTGTTCTAAGAACTAAGGAAGTTTCTCCTTAGTTCTAGGTTGCTTCCCACACGTTGAAATTTAGGGAAATATTATTTTCCATGAATCGAGATGATGAAAATGCTGTAAGTGAATCTCAAGGAAAGGAAAATTTTCAGGGAGTCAGAGTTGAGAAAGTGCTCTTTTACATCCCATGAAGATGTTGGCGTATGGTGGAGTTAGTTATATGTGTGCCCAGAAGTGCACTAATAACATGCAAGTATAAATTATTGCCATAGATCAGTGGTGGCGAACCTATGGCATGGGTGCCAGAGGCGGCACTCAGAGCCCTCTCTGTGGGCACGCGCGCCGTCGCCCCAGTCCTAGGTCTTCAGCTGGGTTTTATAAAACCTTTTCACTTTAGGCCTCCGCCGCCATGTGCAAAAAAAAAAAAAAAGGTTCAATCAGTCAATTTCAACTTCTCACGGGGAAAAAAAAGTTCTTGCAAAGTTGGAATTGATTGATTGAACTTTTTAGTCCCACCCAGTCTGCCGTTATCAACGAAGCCACGCCCACCCAATGGGTCAAGCCCACCCAATGGGCCACACCCACCCGGCACTCGACGATGCATAAGTGGGTTTTGGGTTGCAGTTTGGGCACTCGGTCTCTAAAAGGTTCGCCATCACTGCCATAGATGATTCAGTGATGGAAGAGCAAGCATTCAGTTGTAAAATATAATGCGCTGTAAGATATGTCAGATGGACATATTATGAAAACAGATAAACCAGCACTTGGGAGGCACAACCCATCGAGAAAGCTACTGCTGGATTGGAGTGACATCAGTGTCCCTATGCTATACTTCCTACCACGGTAACCACCAAGAGTAAGCCGAGACAGGTACTGAATGATACTGCACCAATATTTGAGGGTGTATTTATTTATTTATAAAATTTATTTACCGCCCGTATAGTATCCAGCGATTCTGGACATTGGATGACATTTAGGGTAAAACAGTACAAGAGGAAAATGCCACAGTCCAGTTTCGCAAAGCATGTCATAGAAAAAAAAAAGGAAAGGGAAAAAAAAGATTCTGGATCTGGATTAAGTGGAAGCTGAAATATTTCAAAATAATTAATTGACTGGAAACCAGGGACTACGGCTGGTGGCCAAAAACACCTTAAGCTGTCAAAGTTTTAAAGTCAAGGTTAATCCACTGTTAGAAGTGGAGCACTGCCCTTTCCTAGAATTGAAGACATTTCAACAGGAAGAGACCTACTGGAATCTTAATAACCTATGGAAATAAAGGCAGATTCCATGGTGTTCCTCATCATAAATCCATTTAAGGGGCTATATATCATTGTTACAGATTGTTCTCAGAGTATCGTCTGCATTAGTGTTTTGGCAGGGAACCCTAGACCAGGGGTAGGCAACCTTGGCACTTTTATGACCCATGGACTTCAACTGCCAGAATTCAATTCCCAGGAGTTGAAGTCCATGAGTCATAAAAGAGCCAAGGTTGCCTACCCCTGCCCTAGACCAAATGTTCCAAAGCTATTTATATGACATCACTGTCCCTGAAGAAAAGGATGAGGTGCTTCTGCAAGTCCTCAAGAGGGCAGAGATAGGCAGACTTCAGCTTTTGACTCTGATGCTACAAATAGTGAATTCTTTAAATCCGATATTACATATTCAAGTTACACCATTACCACACAAGGCCTATATAAGAGTGTGCGCCTGGTAGCTTTTGCATTGCACACTCTCACAGCTGCACAGAAAAAAAAATACAGAAGGTGATGAGTTTAGTTTGGGGAATAAAATATTTGAAAGACGATGTGGAAAGCTATCCACGTGACTGATCATCAGCTACTGCTACTGTCTTTGGCCCTCAAAAAGGGATTCTGCTTACGACAGATGCTTGTTACAACACATTGAACAACATCCTTGAAGGGCAAAATAAAAATCATAAGGCCACCTAATCACCCAAATGTGGGCAGAGTGCCTTGTTTGCTTTCCGGATTAAACACTTATAAAAATAATCCACATCAGATGGGAACTCTTTTGCCATATCATCTCTCAGGAGATCAAGAATCTTTTCATCACTGCTGAGATTCAGAGAGAGAGAAAAGGAGAAATCCAACACCGTTTCGTGTCTGCTCACCAAACTAACAACACTGAAAAACAACGAAGGAAGTACAGTAGTTGATCGAGTTTTAGCAACACTGTTCTGAATGCATACTTGATAATGGTTGCATTTTGTAGGAACTGAGAAACATCACAGCACCCAAACTGAGACCTCAGGTGTTGCTTTTGTGCTGAACAACTCACAAAGGTAAAGTCACTAGGTTTTGAGTGGTGATTAGAAATAAGACCACCATATTGGACATCTTGTAATGAATTGCTATAAAAGTGGCAACATGAAGTCAAAATGGTGTTGCCTCCCGTAAGTCAATAATGTTTGATGGCAGCCATAAACCTCGTACAATCAGCAACCCTTATCCTCCCATTATACTGGAAGTGAATGCAAATGATCAGCAGTGGATGTGATCAGAGTAGCATTTATTCATTATTCCAGGCAATGCTCCTCCCCTCCAGTCTCTGGACAGCCTTATCTGCTGCACTTCAGCTGTTTTTACTCTAAAAACCTAAAGACAGCAACACTGTGCTTGCGATCTATCAGAATTACCCAATAGCTGATTGATGGGTTATGTAACTGTTCTCTAAGTACTTGAACATAATATCCTTCCTGCTTTAGCTGAAATAATGGAACAAAAGAGTGTGGTGAAGCAAGAGAATGTTGTAAAAGTGACCTAGACCTGTACCGAATCTATAATGATATTATCACTATTGAATTTGTGTTGATTTTTTTTTTTTAAATTCAGACTTAGAATTAGATGGTCATGACCTGAAGTTTGAATGACATGAATATTTATGGTACGATAAAGCTAAAATTAATGTGGATTTTAAAAGCCATTTTATTAGATGTGCCATAGTGAGAGTATGGAATACCTATAAACCCAGGTTGTGCCCCAAAACACCCGTATGGATCTTAGCTCCAGAAGCCTATCGTAGAAGAAAAACAGCAGGCAAGGACAATGGTGGATGTAACAGGAATTACTGGAAAACCATCAAACATAATTTTAAATCAGACCAAGAGAACAATATCAGAAGGATATAATTGTCCATGGTTTTCCCATTTACAATGATCAGAAATATTCAAAATGGTTATATTAAATACTTTGGTATAGAGCAAAGTAAGACAGAATTTGAAGTATAATTCTGCACTGATGATGAACAAATAATTGCTAAAATGTATACATATTTGCTAATGTTTAAAACGGAGGAAAAACAGGTTAAAGAATGCATGATAGAGCGGGCCAAGAATTTTGGTTACAATATACAGATGAACCAATGGGAAAACATGTGGTTAAAAGAGTTGAGATTTATATTATATTTAGATCTTAGAGAATTTTGATAAAATGATATGGTGTTGGTGTAGGATGCTAGAGAAACTCTCTGGAGTCTAGAATGTATCAAGGCACTTCAAATGTAAGTTGGAAATATGAACAATACGACGAGACATTTTATTATGCTTGGTAAAATCAATGAAATACAAATTAATATTTAATTGAAGCCAGTTTTTTTCCTTTTCGGACTAATGGATAATCAGAAAAAAGCCATAAAAGATTATTTCAGAATATGATTACTACAGCATTATATGCACAGAGGTGAAAAGATTCAACACTAGCCACTATAGAGAAATGGTGAAATGACAGATCTTCCTGAGATGAATAAATTAACTTCTTTGATTAAGAGAAGACTTTTACTGGTGAACGGAAACCTCTTATGGATTTTGTGGGTAAAAATAAAGAAAGGAACTTTTGATTTATGGCTCTGGTGATTAAATTGGATGAATTATCGAAAGAAGAGTATTATGATGTAACTTTAGAGAGAGAAATTAAACTGTAATTGTACTTATAATGGCTGCAAAGTATATCAGAAGTAAATTCTTAATATCTTTTTTTCTTTCTATTTACCTTCAACTTGAGAGAGGAGTGTTTTGAACTATTGACTTTGCTGTACGATATTGTGTGCTCTTTTCAAATAAGGAAACAGATCTTCAACCAAGATATTGTGTACACTTGCCCAACTTATGCAATTTAGGCAAATTACTTGCATATTGTTATACTTCCTTATTTAGTGTTCTTCCATAAATACAAGGGGAAACTTCAGCTCTTCAGCAGGTCTACTATCCATCTGCTGACTGACACCTTGGGTTGCTTCTGCTCAAAGAGAATGTGTTCCTGGTTATTTATCTGCGCCTTTCTGGGCATCACTTTCATGCAGGGTGAGTTTACACTGGTTCAAAGGTGAAAAGAGAAAAGTAAGAACCTGGGAACTTCTACTAAATTAACTGACAGGTAGTAGTATTAGTAGTAGGGGTAGCAGCAGTAGTAGCATATGGCAGACTGCAAGGAAAAAATAGAAGCAACGGATAAAAATAGGAAAAAGAAAGGGAGCCGATATCTATGTTGCAGTTTATTTCTGCGCATGCCTATCCAGAAGAATGGGCCACAAGATTCAGGCACTGGTCTGACTTTGGGGGAAGCATGGCTGGGATTGCAGTCTTTAAGAGTTTATGGCATCTCCTGAACAGTATGAATGCCTCCTTTTAATTATAACGAAACCCTTAAGTCCATAATGGTATGTGTGTACAGGTAGTCCTTGACTTATGACCACAGTTGAGCCCAAAATCTCTGTTAAGTGAGACATTTGTTGATTTTTGCCCCATTTTATGACCTTTCTTGCCATAGTTGTTAAGTGAATCACTGCAACTGATAAATTGGTAAAACGGTTGTTAAGTGAATCTGGCTTCCCCATTCATTTGGCTGGTCAAAAGGTTGCAAAAGGTGACCACATGATCTTGGGACAGAGCAACGGTCGTAAGTATGAACCAGTTGCCAAGCATTTGAATTCTGATCACATGATCATGGGGAGGCTACAGAGGTTGTGTGAAAAATGGTCATTTAAGTCACTTTTTTAAAGTGCTGTTGTAACTTTGAACGCTCACTAAATGAACTGTTGTAATTCAAGGACTACTTATATTGGATTGCTCTGACTACTCTGTGGATGGAGGCTGCAAGATTAAATAGCAATACTTAATTGGTAGGATATAATTTATTCCATGGGGGATTTCTAAGAAAGAGTAAACTGGATTGTTTTAATTATATCATAATGCCCCGGGACTGGTGCTGAGTAGGAGATAACAGAGTAAAAGGCATAGAAATACACAATTTCTATAAGGGACCCTTCGCATGCCTTCTCTTCCACATGTTACTGGTAAACCAATTCCACTTGGACTATATAAGTGGGGATAAATAAAATGAGCTGAAATATGTAGTGACCAAATTCTTGTTTTTACTTCTCTTTGGAACAGATGTCTCTGCCCAGACCTGTCTTTGTGCCCAGGGCTTTTGTGCAAGTGGCTGGGTGCAGTATAAGTCTGCCTGCTACAAAGCTGTGAGGCAGCGATACACCTGGACTGAAGCTGAGGCAAGTGATGGGGATGGGGTGCCAGAGCAGTCACTGGGGGCAAGAATATTTACTACCAAATCTATGGGAGGTTCCTCCCCATACACACACACACACACACAGTACATATGGATTGTTTAATGTAATCAATTGTAAGAAAACATTCGTAGCAAGCTGAAGTCAGCCTGAGTGAAAACAGGGAGAAGACTCAGTCAGGAACCTTTGGCCCAGAAAACCAAATTTAATGTTTTAATGTGTTTAGTTTTATAGTTTTAATATGATTTTATGCACTGTTTTAACTTTTGACTGGGAGCTGCTCAGAGTTGGTTAGAAGATAAGTGGCTACATAGACATTTTGAATAAATAAATAGTTTCTAGTCATTGACCTTGTCTCAGAACTACGGTAGTATGTTGACTTACTAGTTAGAGATAAATACAGTGATAAGAAAGTCACCCAAATGATTTTTTTTTTAAAAAAAATATCCAATGTCATATTGGAATTTCCACTGTACTTGCCTTTTCCCTTGTCTTGCCTTTGATTTATGTATTTTTTAAAAATATCTGGCTTCACTTCTTAAGCAACTCTGGGCAGTTCACAACAGCATTGCAATTTGGAGCACAACGTGCCTTGCAATGTAGTCATGGGTCAAAGGTTTGTAAACTCTGATTCTGTCTTTGCTCTCAGCTGCTTAGCCAAATATCAAAGCTTTGCTGGGCCTCCAGTATATACTATATTATTTTTGGCGTGTTAATAAAGTTCTGTTGTATCCTCAAAGTGATTTAGTTGCTTTAAGTGAGCTAGATTTTGACCCTGACAATTGCCAAAAACCACAGGCATGCATCTAACTCTCTTCATGTACCTTGCCAACAATAGTAAGTGCTTTTCCTGCAGCAATACAATTTAGGTAATCTACCATCTATGTGTCCCCGTCTTCTCAAAGAGGCAAAGTGCCACAATGCCAAAGGTTAGTTAGTTTTTCCTAGATATGCACAAGCCAATATATCCGCATGTCACATTTTGTTTGAGGTCATTGTCCCCTTCCAAGTTTCTAGTCTTGTGCTAGCTATATTGCTTCTGGGAATAAATAGTGGCACCCTAGAGAACACTTTAGATTTAGTGAGCTCAAAGCAACCTGCTTTTTTCTCCTTGACATGTTAGCAGATGATACGTGCTTCAAGATACAACAAGCCAACAAGTCTTCTTATTGCATTTCTAGTCAATGGACCTTCGCCTGAAAGCATGGCACTGGCCCTTAGACCTGCCTGCAGAACTCTGAGCAATCACTAGGGGGTAACAAAGAGCTAATTTTTTTTTTTTGTAGCTCTTTGCTGTCCTCCAGATTTTTCAGTCTGGATAGAGTATCTTTACTGAAAGATGATTTTTTTTCAACCAGTTTCACTTTATGAGTGCAGAATGGGTTTTCACCAAAGCAACAAAACACAGGCTTCTGTTAGTATTTTCAAACGTTTGACTGAATCTCTGCATCTGGTTTCTTGACCTTGTAGCACAGTTTTTGAGTCTTCTAGTGGCACACAAACACCTGAAAAGCCGGGGGTCAAATATTTCAAAACATGTAATTACAATGATTTGAAAAGCTCGAGTGAAGTACTTGATGAGGACATTTACAGAAGCTTCTTGTAAAACTGATATTCTGGAATGGATAGATTAAAAAAGTGGATATGCTTCACTGTGAATTCCTCTTAGATATCTTGTCAGCGTTATTCTCCAACATCCCACTTGGCCTCCATCCATAGCATGGAAGAAAACGATTTCATTTTTCATTTGATGGGCAAGCCACTGGATTACAAGCAAGGACTGGCCTACTGGATTGGTGCACATGACACCTTCAAGGTAATATTTTTATATACTGTATATATATATTTTAAAAAGGCAACACCGGTGCTTAAATGACTGATCTGGAAAGGCACCAAGCTTTACTGCACATCTTCTTTATTCCTGCCTCAGGACAGACAACTTTTAACATGGCAAAGTGTGGTTGATTATGCTTTGCACATCCTTCTCCCAACTGACTTTTCCCATGCATTGTCTTCAACCCAGGGCCACTCTGGTTATGGGAACTGACATCCAGCAGTTTTGGAGGGTACAAAATTAAAGAAAGTTGGCTCTGTACAAAACATAAATCGTGTGTGTGTGCTGTTTGAGAAACATAATCCTTTATTCCAGTATGCTTATTTTAACAAACTCTGTGAAACTTCCTCAGGAGGGAACTTTTGTGTGGACAGATGGTTCAAAATTTGATTTCCAGTCATTTCCTTCTGACCAACCTGATGGATTGACAGGAGAACACTATCTTGGCTCCTGGTTTTTACGCAACGGTAACTTTCACATCTTTATTACCCAGTATATAATGAGAGTCATACACAGGAAGGGGTTGGCTTATGTGTGGCTTTTAGGAGGATAGAATTTTGCAACATGACTAAGAATGAGAATCCATGTGTGATGTATTATTGGTAACTGCATAGATTGCAACCTCTGCTTATGTGAATTTTTAATAGAGCAGAGAAGGGCATTGCATTCATCTGAAAGCAAGACAATTCTGAATTTCAGACACTCCCCCCCCATTATTTTACCTCTGATCATACTCTCAGCGAATGTAAGGCATCCATTCCATTTTAAAGGTGAATTATTTGGTGGAAAATCCCCACCTTCTCAAGTTAATGCAGTAGGAATGTCTCATCTGACATTATGGTTCATTCGTGGATCACCATGAGTTTCTATGGATCATACTGTAGGTTTCTGCTAGTGACCATGATGCAGTTACGGGCAGGTAGTCCTTGTCTTATAACCACAATTGGGACCAGAATTTCAATTGCTAAGCAAGGCAGTTAAGTGATCGCGCATGATTTTATGACTTTTTTTTGCCCTGTTTGTTATGTGAATCACATGGCTGTTAAGCAAATCCAGCTTCCACCATTGATTCTGCTTATTGGAAGCTGGCTGAGAAGGTCGCAAATGTTGATCACGTGACCTTGGGACACTGCAACCACGGTAAATACATGCCAGTGGCCAAGCATCCAAATTCTGATCAAAAGATTGTTGGGGATGCTGCAGTGGTTGTAAGTGTAAGGACCTGTCATAAATCACTTTTTTCAATTTCTTACAGCTTTGCATGGTCACTAAACAAATGGTTGTCAGTTGAGGATCACTTATAATAAGGCTGTGCATTTGGAAGATCAAGATGCACTGGTACAAAACACTTGAAGCTGTTGTGACTCAGTGTGGCTGCTGGCTTGCACGGCTGTTTCACTGCACCGGCAGTCCCACCAGAAGTGTTGCATATCTATTCCTAAATGAATTGGAAGTCTTCAGAGCAAGCATGCATTACAGAAGGCATGGCTGCTTCAAGGCGGCTTCACTCGTGCCAGTATGCTGTACAAAACAGCCCTTTAAACATTGCACAGCCTCCCTAACTAGGTGTCCCTTCTTTGGCCTCTGGTGGGGAGTCAAAAATGTTGGCTTAAACCAAGGGCAGAGAACATGGTGTTTCACCAGGCACTTGTTCCACTTACACGTTTAAAAATGTTTGTTGAGTAGAAAATTAACAGGCTGACAAATACAAAGCAAAATGTTCAGCAGGAATGTCTTTAGGCCTCGTTAAAATTGCATTCGGATGACCAAGTGTCTTGTGGGGATAGCTTTTATTCTAGATATTTAGAGAGTGGTGGCACCCCTTTTGTGAATAGGCATCAACAATAGCCTTTTTGTGTATTGTGTTCCTCATATATGCTCTCAAAATTCCAAAAGTACCTATCTCTGGCTTAAATTACACCCATATTACTACTCCCATTGTTATGTAATATAGTACCAGAATCTCAAAGACAGAAATTGTAATGCTATTTGTTGAACATTAGAAAACAGTTCCTGTGTACTTCAACCAGTCTAAACCCATGATTTCATTCTTTCTCCTTTAGAAAAGATTACCTGGAATGACTATAACAATTCATGGAAATTTGGATCTGTTTGTAAATATTATCTAGAAAATAGGTAAGAGCTGAAATTATTTTTCTGAAAGCTGCCTCTAACTCTTCCATTATGTTAGATGCAATACATCAACACGACAGCTTCCAGATGCAATTGCCATACAGAATTTATTTGTTAAAAGAAAAAAGAACCTCCACATCTTGCAGAATACTATGGGTATTTCCCTCTCACTTCATTTCCAGAAATTACTATGACAGTGAAAAATGGATGGTGAATTCCCCCCCCCCTATATTGCTTCAATTGCTTTAAACACAATACAAAATTCCACACCAAGTGAAAGATCCATCCCAAAGTTTTACACCCATTTCATCTCCTCAGATTCCCATTCCTAAATGCATTGGGTTAAATTTTCCAAAAGCCTTTCCTTTCAGCGGCTGATCCTCATTTTCCCATGAGAAGCTCTGTCAGTGAAATCAAATATATGCAAGCAAGTCTTTGCATGGAAAGAAAATCAGGTGTGCAAATGGGATGCAGATAGTTTCTCAAACTCTTAAGACTGGCCAGTGTTTCTCAACCTTGACAATTTTAAGGCATGTGGACTTCAACTCCCAGAATTCCACAGCCAGCAATGCTGGCTGTGGAATTCTGGGAGTTGAAGTCCACATGCCTTAAAATTGTCAAGGTTGAGAAACACTGGTATATACATTGCCCTGAACCAGAGTTTAGAAACACAGTGTATGTGTTCACACAGCATGCTGTATCATCATTATGATGCAGGAACTGGCTTGCAAGATACGTATTAGAGTTTTGAAATCCAACCTTTATTACTTCATAAGTAACTCAAAGTGGCAAACATACATAACACAACTTTCCCTTCCTATTTTCCCCCCAACAAGAGGTGGGTTGGGCTGAGAGTGACTGGGCTGAAGCCACCTAGCTGGCTTTCATGCCTAAGGTGGGACTAGAACTCAGTCTCCTGATTTCTAGCCTGAAGCCTTCACTACTAGACCAGACAGGCTCATTTTATGATCACCTATCATGGTCACATCCCTTCTTTTCCTACCCTTCTCCCCAAATCAGTCAGTTAGTCTCAATGGGGTTTAAACTTAGAGTCATGTGATAAGCCAGCTCCCTATTCATTCTCAGAACAGCCAGTCTCCATAACTTAGCATAAATTCCATCTTTTTTTCTTCTGCAATGGTAGCCAGTAGTATTACCATACTCCTATCCATTTAATAATAATAATAATAATAATAATAATAATAATAATAATAATAATAATAATAATAATAATAGTAATAATAATAGTAATAATAATAGTAATAATAATAATAAAGTTGGAAGGGACTTTGGAGGTCATCGAGTCCAACCCCCTGCTCAGGCAGGAAAACCTATACCATTTCGGACAAATGGCTGTCCAGTCTCTTCTTAAAAACTTCCAGTGTTGGAGCATTCACCGTTTGTGTAAAATGCTTTTAAGTTTTGCACTTGGGAACAAGATTGTTCATTCTGCACACTGGGGCATCTAGGAGTCATTTGCTCAAATACAGGAAGGATTATTTCTAAGTACACAACTTGCATAGCAATATATTGCACAAGGCTGGTGTAACATATGTGTTTGTGGTTTGTTTGACTGTCAGCTTTTTTCTTTCCTAAACAGAGGATGCTCTTCTTCTTGTGAGGCGAAATGAGAGACACAAATTCACAGGATGCAGAAGCCTTATTTCTAACCTGGAGGATTATTCTATGATGTTTTGCTTTTCTATAGCAACTTTCTAAAGAAACATGTTTATGTGCAAATCAAATTATTTGTCCTGTAGGAACAACTGGATTTTATCACTATAGATTCTTTTTAAAATCATTTTTATTGAGATGCAAATAAAAATTGTTTGTTGCTGATTCTATGGCTGCTTATTGCTATAACATGTCATTATTTGGTTCAGGTACTTACAACTTTATACTGTGGACTACTGCTAATCCTCCTGAAGATTAAGGTGTAAAATTACCCAAGGATTTAGTAATAGCAGTGAACCTTAAATAATAGCCATACATATTAATTTCATCCTTTTTAATAAATAGTATCAAGTCCCAGAATACTTGGATTCCAACTTATATAAGGCAACTTATATAAACTAATTAAGTATCTAAATGAGCAAATTAACAATTGTTCTGTTTATTCCGTAACTCATTCCATTATTCCTGAACTCTTTGATGGGTGACAAATAGCTTTCTTATGTACAAAAAGTTCAGACAGCTTTTTGTGTGTGAAGGCAACAGTGGAATCAAGACAATTCTGGAGAGAATGATTAGTACAATATTACATTGCCAAAAGGATTAATACCTTTTACATGAAGTTTGACTCACAACACTCCAAAATACTGTACCCAGAACTCAGCATTACCTTTGAAAATTTCTATGTGTTATTCTGTTCCTGATAAGTTGCCATTCACAGGGATGACAACCTGACATACCACTCACAGAATCCCTTTTAATTTCTCTGAGTTGTTACTTCCTAAGCTAAGCCAAGCCATTGGAAATTGGCAGATAGTATGTGAAATAAGGTAGGAAGTTTAAAAAAAAAAAATCTAAGCATCTACATGCTGACTTGGCTAACATTAAGGCCTGGTGAACAGTAGTACTTTTCTGGAGAAAGATGTACAGAATCTACCTGCTGTCTTAAAAGTATCCATAGATGGCGATATGTAAACTATAGTTCAGTGATGGTGAACCTTTTAGAGACTGAGTGCCCAAACTGCAACCCAAAACCCACTTATGCATTGTCGAATGCCGGGTGGGTGTGGCCAATTGGGTGGGCATGGCCCATTGGGTGGGCATGGCTGCGGTGGTAACGGCAGACTGGGTGGGACTAAAAAGTTCAATCAATTCCAACTTTGCAAGAACTTTTTTTTCCCCGCGAGAAGTTGAAATTGACTGAACCTTTTTTTTTTTTGCACACGGCGGTGGAGGCCTAAAGCGAAAAGGTTTTATAAAACCCAGCTGAAGGCCTAGGACTGGGGCAACAGTGCGCGTGCCCAGAGAGGGCTCTGAGTGCCGCCTCTGGCACCCGTGCCATAGGTTCACCATTACTGCTATAGTTGAACTTAACATGCTATAAGAATCCAGCTAATGTTTATTCATGATCACGAATAAACTACCTATTTTATTAGGTGTCATCAAGTTGTTAACTCAGTGACAACATAGATTTTCTTCAGATGATCCCTCCCTAATCTGATCCTTTAGATTAGGGGTCCCCAACCTCCGGGCCGTGGACCAATACCGGGCCACAGCATGCCAGCAATCGGTCCATACAAACAAGCAAAGCGCCATCCATGGGATGCAGGCAGCACACAAAACCATGCACTCTCTGGTCTGTGGAAAAACCTTCTCCACAGAACTGGTCCCTGGTGCCCAAAAGGTGGGGACCTCTGCTTTAGATCTTCAAATGCCCATCACTGTTGTAATTGAGTCCACTCACTAAATGTATTAATCCTTTGAGATTAGTATGTAGAAATTCATACAGGCTCTCTGAATTGTCAAAAGCACCTTTCCCTAAGGAATAATAGCTGCATTTCCCCCGTTTCATATTTCATCTCAAAGATCAAAAACTGTTCAATAACTGTTCTTGATGAGAAGTTGGTCGGTTGAACTATGGAGTTGACGGATGCAGAACTTAGAACCGTGGTGGCGAACCTATGGCACACGTGCCACGGTGGCACGCAGAGCCCTCTCTGTGGGCACACACGCCCTCGCCCCAGTCCTAGGCCTTCAGCTCGGTTTTATAAAACCTTTTTGCTTTAGGCCTCCGCCGCCATGTGCAAAAAAAAAAAAAAAAAGGTTCAATTGCTTGAAAAAAAAAAGATCTTGCAAGGTTGGAATTTATTGAACTTTTTAGTCCCACCTAGTCTGCCGTTACCACCGCAGCCACGCTCACCCAATGGGCCACACCCACCCAGCACCCGCCGATAGGCAAGTGGGTTTTGGGTTGCAGTTTGGGCACTCGGTCTTGTGAGAAAGGAAGAAGTTTAAAAATAAAACGGTCACAATTGATTAACAATAGAACAGTGGTTCTCAGCCTGTGGGTCGGGATCCCATTTGGGGTCGATCGACCATTTCATGGGGGTCGCCAAGCAAGGCTGTCCGCCATTTTTTTGTCCGCCATTTTTTCCCCCTTTTCCAGCGGGTGCCTTACCTCCCTTGGGCTGGGCCAGCTGGTGGTTGGCCTGCTCCGTCTCTGCCGCTTGCCAGCTACGCCTCGGCTGGCGCAGGGGGCGGAACCACACATGCGTGGCGCTCCCTGGCAGGGAAAGTCCTCGACTTACAACCGGTTGGGTAGTCCTCGACTTACGACTGGTTTAGTCCTTGACTTACGACCGGTTGGGGTCGCGGCATTAAAAAGGTTGAGAACCACTGCAATAGAAGGATTAGCCAAGCCCTGCACTGTAGGCACTAGATTTCAGGAGGCTTGACTAGAAGACACACTTAACAAGGCGGATTGGACAGATTGTGCCCCTGGAAGTCCTCTCAAATGGGACCTAAGGGGAGGGGAGGGGGGCGTCGCGATAGGAGTGTATATAATGTTGTGAGTTTGAATATTTTGGTGTGGTCTCTGGGTTTAGAACTTCCTGTTGAAGTCTCTCACCAGGATCCACCGCGCTTTGCAAACCGCTCTTTCTATTTCCTGCAGAATAAACTCTTTTTCTTACCAATCCAATTTTGTTGGTCTTTTAATCACGTTTCCAACAGTCTCTAAAAAAGGTTCGCCATCACTGACTTAGAATTAACTTCTAGTCTGCCGCAGGCGTTAAATCAGATCTTCCTACCTGTAGGAAGAGGCTCAAAAAAATGTCCATAAAAGGCAGGGGGAATAATAAACTGATGTTTTCCATCGGGTTGGATTGCAGCTCCCGTAATCCTCAGGCGTCGTGGAGGGCCCTGGGTTGGGGGAAGACTGGGATATGGGGCAGGGGCAAGGAGGCGAGCATCATCCTACCGGAGCCCCTGCTCGGAAATAAGCCACTCGGAGTTGCCGGCGATTTCTCCGCGGCGTCGTCAGAAGCACCAGACCCGGGAATTCCCCCCCCCCGTGCAAAGAGACGCCGCTTGCTCAAATGACAAGGACTCCGAATCAACCATCGAGGGCGACTTCTATTAAAGTAGAAAACCGAATCAACCATTTCAGGCAGTTTGGTTTTTGTTGGGACTCGCCGTTTCTTTTGTTTCCCGTGAATTTGGAAAAGGCAACACTTTCCTCCGCAAAAGCAAGAGGGGGAGGGGGGAGAGATTTCCAAATGGAATACGGTGAGAAACCAGGCTACCTCAGTCAACGCCCAAAACACTGCTCCAAGCATCGCCATTAATCAAATCGATTGGAAGAGATCAGTCGGCACCAAGCGGCTCCTCGCCGTGCAGACGTTCGGGATGGAGAGGAAAGGAAAGGGGAAAAAAAAGGGTTCCTAACTACCAGAAGTGGGGTTCGAACCCACGCAGACTCACGTCTATTGGAACTTAAGTCCAACGCCTTAACCACTCGGCCATTCTGGTAATTCTGACGAAGGGTTTGGAAGTCTCGGGAACAAACTGACGTCCCAGTAACATTTCCCGCCAAGCCGATCGAGCAGCTGCCGCAACTCCCTCCGCCCAAGCTCGGCTTTAAGCACTCCGACGCTGCGCTCCTCTGAAGTCGGCTTAGGCGCCAGACTTCGCCTGCTTGGCAACTTCGCCCCGCCTAAATGGTGAACCACAATCCCCGCCTACTTGGAAACGTCAGCCAATACGCTCCGCGCTTCCCGAGCGGAGGCCTCCCCATCCTCGGGAAATAGGACACGCCCTCTCGGGGCGACGGTCTCAGTGGCCGCGAGTTCAGAGGGTGGGGGCTGTTGGTGGGGATCTCTCTCCCGAAGGGAAAGAGGCAACCGGGGTCGTCCAGCTCCTTTCCCTCTTTCCCCTCCCTCTCTGATTAGGGGCAGCCTTTCTTGCCCCGCAAGTCCACTCAACCATTTCATTCCTTCGCATTAACCAATAAGCTTCTTGGGTCCCTGGACCCGATCCTTCTTCCCTCGTATCCATTCAGACAGCAGAGCGTGTGCGTGGGTTAAGGAAAAGTTGCGAGAGGGATCTCGAGACGGTTGAGGTCAAACACACTTTCCCTGCTGGTCGTCGCGGTAATTCTGGCAGGGGCGGAGCTGGCACCCTGCTCGCTCCCCACCCCCGATCGACCCTGTCGAAAGCATTGGCCGCAGGGAGCGCCGCTTCCCAGGACCTTCACCTCCTTCTATTGCAGTGGTTCTCAACCTTTTTAATGCCGCGACCCCAACCGGTCGTAAGTCGAGGACTAAACCGGTCGTAAGTCGAGGACTAAACCGGTCGTAAGTCAAGGACTACCCAACCGGTCGTAAGTCGAGGACTTTCCCTGCCCGGGAGTGCCACGCATGCGTGGTTCTGCTCCCTGCGCCGGCCGAGGCGTAGCTGGCAAGTGGCAGAGACGGAGCAGGCCGACCACCAGCTGGCCCAGCCCAAGGGAGGTAAGGCACCCGCCGGAAAAAGGGAAAAAAATGGCGGACAAAAAAAATGGCAGACAGCCTTGCTTGGCGACCCCCGTGAAATGGTTGATCGACCCCAAATGGGGTCGCAACCCATAGGTTGAGAACCGCTGTTCTAATGCAGAGGTCTGCAAGCTTGACAACTTTAAGACTTGTGGACTTCAGCTCCCAGAATTCCTCAGTCATAATTTTGGGAGCTGGAGTCTACAAGTCTTAAAGTTGTCAAGGTTGCAGACCCCTGTTCTAATGACTTCAGATTTGAAGCGACCGGACTGGTCGCATGATTTTAGTTTCCGATAAACGACAAACATTTATTTAGGGTAAAAAAAGTTATTTTTATATTCTCATTCTTAACTTTAT